TTAATGGGAATACCTCCCTCCAAAGAGCTATTTCTCGGCCTCTCCTCCCCCCAAATATCTATTTCTCGGCCTCTTCTCCCTCAGAGAGCTATTTCTCGCCCTCTCCTCCCCCAAAGATCTTGGCCTCAAGGGATTATTTATTATTTATGCCCACTACAACATGACCAGCCTCGAGAGATCACGATTAATCACGTTAAATTTTTACTGTTTTTTGGTTGTGAGCACAAAAATAAGAATCGTTTCAAAATCTTCGCCCGAAGTTACGCAAAGGAGTAGCCGTCCCTAATTTTGACCTAATTAATCTAGAGTAAAGGCAGTTATTTAACAGCACCCACTGCCAACTTTTCAGCTACTCTTATCTAACTGAACAGTGAGATTAGACCGTCACTTTTATAGTAAACCCATGGCTCCAAAGCGAGGGGCAGATTGACTTCGACTATTATGCCAATTGGCTAACTGCTTCACATTATGCTGGTTGACTAACTCCTTCAGATTGACTTCGACTATTATGACAATTGGCTAACTGCTTCACATTATGCTGGTTGACTAACTCCTTCATACTGACTACGACTATTATGCCAATTGACTAACTACTTCAGATTATGCTGGTTGACTGACTACGACTGCTATGCTGGTTGACTAACTCCTTCATATTGACTACGACTGTTATGCTGGTTAACTATCTCCTTCAGAATTACTACGAGTATTATGCTAGTTGACCAACCCCTTCAGATTGACTACGAGTATTATGCTAGTTGACTAACCCCTTCAGATTGACTACGACTATTATGCTGGTTGACTAACTCCTTCACATTGGCTACCAGTATTATGCTGGTTGAATAATCTCTTCAGATTGACTACGAGTATTATGCTGGTTGACGTACTCCTTCAGATCGACTACTACTATTACTTCAATTGACTAACTCCTTCACATTTACTACATCTATTACAATAAGAACTATTTAGTAAAGTTTTGTTTGTTTACTTGTCTGCTGTGTCCTCTGCGGGGAATCGAATCCGGAGTGTAGGTCCTTAGACTTACCGATGTCCCACCGGGGGGTGGGGGCATTTAGTAAAGTAAACCTAGTTTGTTATCGCATTTATATGTGTGTTAGAATTTTTTTCAAAATGAAAGTGTCTACTAGTTAATAACGATTACAATACACAACGTGTTAAAAAAAAACTGCTGATTTCTTAGCATCGAAGTATCATAGCAAATCACGATAAATCCAAGTTAACATAAATCCAGACAGCGTACCTAATCCAGTTATTTGTAAAATAAAATACATCATTATATCAAGATGGGAAAATATGCGATTCCCTATTTCTGTTTAAGCAGATAACTTTGTGTTAACAAAACTTTTCAATTATTGCTTAAATGTTTTGCTTGACATTGATGAAGTGTGAAGTAAAACAGAAAGCTGTGATTAATCCAAGATTTAAAAAAAAGCAACTTTAACATTGCTAAGTCATTACGTTATATTGAGTTCGTCATTCTAGAATAAAGATGTTATATTGAGTTCGTCACTCATTATTTCATTATCTCAGTTACATTTGAAGATAAATTTTAAACACATCTTCTGTGTGTATAATCCTTCCTATGTTATCATCATTTTTATTAAAGACATACAATGGAATATATTGAGAAAAATTCAATTATGAAAATGGATATAAGATGAACTTTGACAATATTGCATTTTCAGCGTTTTCAATTTGGTGCAAGAAAGGAAATTAATTTTACTTACCGATTGCGTGGAAACATTTCCATGGTTACTTGTTTTGGAGACGAAATAATTCAATTTTATCCCCCGTCTAGAATTTTCAGAAAAAGGAAAAAAAAATATATATATATAGGAAATTACACTCATATTAATCATTAATTTGTCATTGGGTTTGATTTCGTTGATTATGAGTGACTATATTTATGAACTGGACAGAAATTGGGAAGTATTAAATTGAATCTCTCGAAATCAATTTCCGTCTTAATTACTGATTGGTTAAGAAACTGGTTATGTTGGAAAACGTTTTGCTATTCGCTGTTCTTGAAACTTCTGATATTGATTGCAAGTCGTTTATTTGTTTGTAATTAAGCACAAAGCTATACAATGGGCTATCTGTGCTATCTAAACGATAGGTTGCATTAAAATAAGCATTTTACTTTATTTTTGATTGTAGTTTTTAAAAAAAATGGGTAAAGAGCTACTTTTAAACCAGTACTTTATAAGTGGTTTACTCAAGAACCTTACGAAAGATCTCTCTTTGGTCACTTTGACAAGAAACAGTTATCGTTTTATCTAGTAACCTAAATTAGTGGTCTGTTCAACTCTAAACTCCGGTGGCTCAGCTTGAGGGCTTATAACGCTAATATTCAAGGTTTGATCTATAGATGGCCCTTTATGCAGCTTTGCACTTAAAGAACACAAACAAAGCGTTCACTGAGCGAAAATTAATAATTCCTTTGCTTGTTTGCACAGTAAAATAAGAATTATGTCACTGTTAAAAAAGAGCCTACTGTTAGAGATCTGTGACTAAAACTATTTTACACATTAAAACTCCGGGGTGTTTTTGACCAGTCTAATCACCCTATAAATGTAACCAACTGTTAGAGATCTGTGACTGAAACTATTTTACACATTAAAACTCCGGAGTGTTTTTGACCAGTCTAATCATCCTATAAATGTAACCAACTTTACAAGAAATAATGTACGTTTTTCTTATTCTTTAAGCACAAAAAAGGTGTTTATCGGGTTTACCAGCTGTTTATGCTTCTGGATAAATACAGTTTCTTTCCGAAACTAAGGTTCATTTTTAAAGCCATCACTTGTATTTTGATATATGATTGCATATATATATATATGATATATGATATATATTGGATATCGGATACAAAGAGGGTAAATTATCTCATTTCTGTATTTCATTACATCTTTTTAGTTTTCTGACTTTCAGTAACAAGATATCTTATTTTTATTGTTTGACTCTACAGAAAAGGTCACTTCTGAACTTATTAGTGATCAGGAGCTCTATGGCAAGGCAACTAGTCAGAAAACATGCTATCAATTCCCGTTACGTTTTTATGATACTTTGATGGTCCAATTAATAATGAACGGAAAAAAAAAGAGATATTACGTAACGCTTTGTAGCTATCATGTTCTACGATACAAACACTCCTTAGGATCATTAGTTTAGGTAAAACAACAACACTGATCAAATGGGTATAATTTTACTTAATTAAACTGTGGTAGTTGTAACCTAACTTTCCAAAGACTATAAAGTGGAGGTTACAATTGAAGAATAGTTTATAAAGAAATAAAACCTTTAAACACTAAATATTTCATATTTTTTATTGAGAAAAATACGTTGTACAAACAAAGTAAATATATATATATATACTACATTAAAATTTTAACGTTGGTTTCATTAATATTGTTGATTTTGGTATTTAGTATACTTTATTGATCATCGTATCTTATGCATTATTCTGAATTATTTAGGTTTACCTGTTTGTTCTTTATTTGTTTTCATCAATGACCAACTATCCTCCCACAGTTGGCTACAGGTAGTGAATGTATAGTTAGGAAGTTGTCCTAATCCTAACTATACATTCACTATCTGTTGTCCTAAGATAGTGAATGTATAGTTAGGATTAGGACAACAGATAGTGAATGTATAGTTAGGATTAGGACAACAGATAGTGAATGTATAGTTAGGATTAGGACAACAGATAGTGAATGTATAGTTAGGATTAGGACAACAGATAGTGAATGTATAGTTAGGAATAGGACATTATGGGTTCAAGCACCTGAACCAGGCTCTCTAATACTTTCAAATGTGTTAATATGTTGTTGCATAGCGGATTCTTACTAACTGATGTATAATTGAAAAGTTCAGTGTTATTTGAATGTTACACATGACTAGATAGTTTTTTTGACATATTTTTGGCATGTTTTGTCTTTGCGCGCTTTTGGATTACATTTTAGTATACATACATATATTGCATTTATATAGATAATTTTGCATTATCAATGTGCTGTAAAAATGATTTAGAACAATCCTAAACTTTCTAAGCTGGCCAAACCTCGTGATAGATTATTGGGATTATGGCCGGAAACATCGATGACTGATGAACTGATGCATTACAATAATTATAACTTCTTTTTGTTTTATGAGATTAAATAGTACAAGTTAGTCCTTTATGTAAATTTTTAGGTACATCATTTCTCAAAACATTTTCTTTTTGTTCTTATTTCTGCAGTTAGCTTAGCTTATTTTGGTCAGAAGCTAATTGATAATAATATATGAGAACAGTCAATGAACTACTTGAAACTTATGATGTCATCAAATTATTCAGTTTTAGAGCATGAAAAACAGCCTGAACTATTTGTATAAAGCTAGCCAGAAACGGGGTAGCTGGGGTTTTCTTGCTACTGAGTATGGGTTTATCTATAAACTACCATAATCAATAAAACCATCAGCAACTCTTTCCGTTCAACGTGTAAAGAACTTCGCATAGCACCAAAAATTTAAATCAGGTTTGTTCCTTACAGTCGAAAGCCACCCTACATTCACGCCCTCGCGTCTTATACGCCATTCTTTTGTTTGGTTGGGAAAGTATTATGATTGAAAATCGCGTTACGAAACAGGTGACCAGTAATAGATATGTCATATTTCTGGCACCTCAACGGTGATAATGAAAGTTTTTTTTTTTATCGGATAAGCTAGTAATAGAATAGTGGGGAAAAACAACAACTCAAAATCCTTTTTTTTTATGTAATAATTCCAAAATACGAGATATCGTTTAACTCAGGAGTTCCGCATATAATCTCGTTAAATGACTTGCATGTTGTTTTAACAGTTAAGAATTCACTGAAATAATACTAGATTAAAGAAAAATAAATTATCATCATATAAAACGTAAGAAAATCTTGAACATTAGCAAAGTTGCGACGCAATAAATGCGCGAAACACTTTATAATAAAGAAAATAACTCGTCATTACAGCTGCAAATCCACCCAGCAGTGATGAAATACAGCTAACGATGGACTCTGTAAACCGTGTCTTCAATCGGATGTTTCCCATGGTTCCAAGTAAAACTCATTACATCCTGGAACTAGATTCCAAAGACGACAACAACCTTCTGAAAAATTATAACATTCCAGCTAAATTAGTCAATGACGAGTCTCTTCTTTCCGATGATGTTCCAACTAGGAGTCTGGAGTTGGGATTTCACAAGCGAGGACCCATATGTATGAGAAATTGCATCGCCCAAGGACTTCTTCACCCTGTCCAGTGTCATTCGCTATGTTAACAGAAGGAATCCGAAAGTCGTCGAATATACCTCAGGTGAAAAATAACGTTTACTTCTTGTAAATGCTAATTAAAATCTTTCATATTGTCTTAGTTGTTAAATCTTTTCTGAGATATGTACTTCTTTTGAGAAGTTAAAAGTTTGTTGAGGTTAAAATAGATATCACAAAAATGAAACAAATAAAACGTGGGATTCAGAAACTAGAAAAAAAATACATCTTTTTTTTTGGGGGGGGGACGTAAAAGTTAAATTTTTACGAAGGTGAAACTCCAAACGTAGAGGTAAATAGTTTTGTTAAGTTGCAGTAAACAGGTTAAAATATTCCTCGTGGCCTGTATTTTGATGTTAATACATATTGTTAAAAACAAGTTATAATTTATATTATAAGAACCAGCATAATTAAATAATCCATTCTTTAAGAAGATACTTAATAACACTAAAGTTAACGATAATAATTTGTTACTTAATGTGGACGAATTGGGATGTTAAGGGAGGAAGCAATAATGAGAAACCGTCTACTTAAGAATGCTTATGTTCTTCATCATAAGAAGTACCTAACATGATAAAGACTGTCACAATTATATGTGGCCCAGCATGGCCAGGTGAGTAGGGGCGCTCGACTCGCA